TTCTTCACATTTGTTAAAGAATGAATATAAAATAAAATCATGTATAAAAAATGCCTGGCCGGATGAATTGGGCACATGGAGACTTTTATTTCGGGATAAACGTGGTGATCTAGGGAAATGAGGAATTTGCACGCAAATTTTTTATTGTTTCATCTGAAAGTTCTTACTTGCAGTATTTNCATGTATTTTACCAGATTATATCATTTTGCACTATCTGCTCCAATCGAACCAATTAAATCCCCGTACTCAGTTCACTCATTAGAATCCACTTGAACACGAATTTCATCAAATTTTAGACACTTGCTAATTCTCCAGTGCGAGCATTTCGCCGGTCAAAACATTTAACTAACATTTTTTTCAATCGAACCAATTAAATCCCCGTACTCAGTTCACTCATTAGAATCCACTTGAACACGAAATTCATCAAATTTGAGACACTTGCAAATTCTCCATTACGAGCATTTCGCCGGTCAAAACATTTACCGATTTAACTGGAAACAATATTTTTCTTGAAAAATTCATTTTTTTTTTTTATGATGTTTCATAAATAAATTAAAGCGCCGTCACATAGTAATATCACTATCCAGCACGATAACTTAGACATGCATGCACGACATCTGGACTGCATTTTGCAATTTGGAACTATAAATTCTAGCCCGGTTTAAAAACAACGTATGTGCCATAAGTTTCCCTGTACGCATAAGCGTTTTTCCAGAAGAGCCAGAATTTATAGTTCCAAATTGCAAGATGTAGTTCATCTGGATATCATTGTCCTGACTCATCAAACTCGCAACACGGTCCCGTTTTTCATCATGATATAAGTATCACATTCACCTACTACTGTCCCAGTATTCTCATTCGAGAAGCCCCCAGCCCTCCGTCCAATCCAATTTGCATCATACGTCGTAATTCATGAACGTCAGCGCCGCAACATGACAGTCTTGATATTTAAATCTCTCTCTCTCCCCCCTCCTTCCCTGCCCATCCCTCGGGTGCACAGACCTGAGGGAAGCTCCCGTGAGCTCGCTGAGAGAAGCGCCAAAATTTGATTGATTTGTGGACGTAGAAAAAGCTCTATAGTTGGCCACCAATCTTGTAGTTGTTAATTGCAGGGGTGACGAGAGACGACGACGGTGTGTCTCGTATTCGCTCCGACCGAACTCGAAGTGACAGGCGGCTCCGTCCCGTCTAGTCATTCGATCGTTAGGTTCTTATTCTTCGAGTTGTGGAAATCCGCTTTCATTTTTGTCAAATGGTTGAATTTATTAATTTTCAAGTTGGTTGACGCGGCCGTAAAGACATTCAAAATACCAGTACCCGCACCAGAAGGCTGATTGTTGAAATGGACTACTAGACAAGGTACGAATTTCAGCATTCTGATACATGGATTGCATTTTGCAAAAAGGAACCACTAGCATTGCAATGTTGCTAAGATTGTGCAACTGCTTTTGTCTGGGAGGAAAACCCCGATTATCCACTATAGTTTCTATTTTACTCGCTAAAAACTGTGAATTTAAGACAAAAATTACCATCTAAATTTCATAGTTTTTCACGATTTCCGCAATTTTATTGCAAAGGATGAAGTTGCACAATCTTGGCATCATTGCAATGCTAGTGGTTCCTTTTTGCAAAATGCAATCCACATGTTTCTTCACCAAAATTTCACGTAAAACACGATGCGCACAGCAAAAATTACCGAAATCAACTCCTTACAAAGATATTTGATGATTCCTGATGCGTGAATTCAAACCATTACCCGCTCATGAAAACTCAATGCTCTACGTGATTCACATCGCGCGCTGAACGTTATCATGACAGTCTCTACGATATAAAAATCTGGCAACCTCAATCTTGACGCTTTGGCTCAGCTGTAGCAAATTGATCACAGTTTGAACAACACATGGTGGGAAATGAACAGTGCTCGATTGAGAAGCTTGCTGAAACCGTTGCAGTGCGCGATTTGACTCACATAGAGCTTTGAGTTTCGTGTCAGCGGGCAGTTCAAAGTCCTCGTAACCAATGTGAGATAAAAACGTTAATATCTTCGTTAGGAGTTGGTTTCAGTAATTTTCGTTGTGCTCGTCGTGTTTTACGTGAAATGCTGGTTAAGAAACATGTATCAGAATGCTGAAATTCGTACCTTGTCTAGTGGTCCATTGCTAGACGAAGCGATAGACGAAGAAGACATAGGGAGCCTGAAGCGATCCTATCGGTTGAAATATCGTTACCGCCCGGCCAAAGTTACACAAGCGACATGCGACGTTTAAAAATTTCCGCCGTAACGTCATTTTATATTTTTCCAGAGAAATTGTCCAGTGAAGCTGTCCGAAAATTTCACCGAATTTTCTTTGCGCTGCCGATAAAATTCAGTGAAATTTTCAAACAGACTTGACTAACAATTTCTCTGCTAAAAAAATAAAATGGCGGTTTGAAACGTCGCATGGCGCCTCGCTTGTGATACTTTGGCCGGGTGACGATACATGGTTCCTACAGACGAAGGGAGAAAATGATGGACTAACTGAAAAGGTTTCGCGTGGGTTGCCGTTAGTTAGTCTATCACCTACCTTCCTTGTCTATTGCTACTAACCGCTTCTACCAATAGGATCTCTCCGTATCCCTTACGTCTTCTTTGTCTACCGCTCTGTCTATCAATTTCAACATTTAGCCCGCAGCGGGTTGATTATTGAAATTGATGGACAAACCCTGGTAAAAATTGGTGATAGGAGCTGTGTTTCAAAATACCCTAGGAATTCTTATAGCTGGCTAAAGAAGGCTACAGAAAATCATATAGCTGGCTGTGGAATGCGGAGAAAATCATTCGGCCGGGCTACACGAAGCGATAAAAAAATTTTCAGCCGGGCTATAGTTCCTATCGCCGGGCTTTACACTTTATCGCCTGGCTGTTGCTTTTTCGCCATCGGCTATAAAAGGCTATTAGAAATTGTGTGGAAATTCTTATGCTTTGTAAATCCTTAAGTTTGTAAGGAATCACCTTGATATTTACAAAACGCACATTATATTTTCCTTTACTGCATATTTTTTTTCATCAATTAAAATGAGAATAATCCACACAGAGTGTGCAAACATTTCAAAGTCATGAGTTGAAAAACGCTGACCTCGCGAGATTAAATATTAGAGCCCAACACAAAGCGGAGCGGCGGCGCACTGGCGCCTACAAACCTAACAGGGATACTTCATGCATTGCGCAACGCGTGAAGTATCCCTGTTAGGTTTGTAGGCGCCAATGCGCGTTTATAGCCGCCCGCCTGCCGCACCGCAGCGTACCGCGGCGCTTGAAGCAACTATTTCACACCAGAGGTATTGCACAGTATCATGCGAAATTGAAGGCGCTCCAACATATTAGGAATGGCAGGCATCCTTCAAAAGTACGGAGCTTTCCCCGCAAATTAAATCAAGATACTGCGGCCCAAAAAGAGAGCAGTAGTCCAAAAACTCACTAAATCCTAGCATCCGTAATTAGTAACGTTTAGCATACACTTTATCGCCAGGCTGTCGCTTAATCGCCATCGGCTATAAAAGGCTATAAGAAATTGTGTAGCCGGCTATAGAAGCTATTGGAAATTTTACAGCCGACTGTAGGTCTATGGTATTTTGGAACACAGATTCTACTGCCAATTTTTACCAGGGAAGCGGCACACAAAAACGACACATTGAAAATAAAGTGATCCTATTAGGTGGAAGCGGGTGTCATTGCAATCGACAAAGGATGAAAGTAATAGACTACCTAACTGCAATACGCGAGGGACCCGGGACCCTATAATCAGCCCATCATTTCCCCCCTTAGTCTATGACAACTGCCCGTTCCAACTAATTGTATCGCTCCATGTTCCTCATGTCTTCTTTGTCTATAGTTTTGTCTACGAATTTCACTAATTTTCCCGCAGGAAATTAATCCCGAGAGGTATAAAATGTATGGTCCTGGAGCCCTCTCTCCCTTAAGAAGTAAAAAGGCGGTCCTCTCACTTTAAAAGTCGAGATTTACATCGAAATTTTAAAATTATTCCATTTGAATTATGCAAGGACTTTGAATTATCTTAAGCTAAATCGACACCAAGAAATCCAAAATCGGCATATGCGTATCTGAAATACTGTCGCTCCTCTGACGTAAGGGCGTACCTCAATTTCCACGTGAGCCCCGTTTTAAATATAAATCTACGCTTTCTGGGGCTCACGCAAAAATCGAGATAGGCTTCTACGTCACAGGAGCGACGATACTGACCCCTAAAGGTCGGGAACAGAGCCCCTCCAAAAAATACAAGTTTGCTAAATTGACGTAGAGGATCAGAACAAGATGGTTTCATAGGAAATTGACCCCAAGGGCTATGAGTTTGACGTTCCTGCAGCCCCCCCCCCCCCCCCCCGAGGCTTTTGCAGCAAAGCTTGGGTTTGTAAATTTAATCAATTTAGGGTCCCCCCGATGCCCCATCAGCAAAGCCTCGGGGGGCTACAGGACCGTCAAATTTGGAGTCAGCCGAAATTGTGGTTTGATCAACCATACCTCTGTCTAATTTGACTACTCTTATATTTGGCGCCACAAGCAGCCAGGAGTACAGTTGGGATTGTAATTGGTACTTTTTTTTCAGTGAATGATCATATCGACGGTGTATGTCCGTAACCACATATATCGGTTTGCGACGTTGCATACTTCCAGTCATGTTTTATTTTTTAAATTGAAAACTTCTCAATGGCAATTCTTAAAAACTGCCGTGACTTTTCTCCTCAATGCCAAGAAAATTTCGCAAAAACTTCAAGGAACGATGTCGATTCGTTCTCCTTTACAAAAATAAAATAGGAGCGGAGATTTTCAACACCGTAAACGAGATACAAGGTTGCGGACTTACACCGTCGATATGTATGATCGAGTACAAAAAGTGTTATTTATCCTCGTTGAAAGCTGTGCTCATAGTGCCGATAAAGTTTCAGCAAAGTGCGTCATGCAACAACAAAATAATCCCCCAATTGGAAAAAATTCCACTCACCGGCATGGTGCTTGTAGATCCTAAGCTCACAAAAGAGAAAACCAGGTAAAAATCTAAACCGCGGGGATAGGCTCGGAAACTGCGTGAATTTTAAAATTTCAAACTCGCTCACTTCCACACGGTCGGCGACGGATTACGACTATAACTAAGCCTCCAATTTCCTTCGAAACGCTCGCACCGCGCTTGACTTGACGCCAACGAGCGCTCGCCAAATTTTACCCCGATTCCCCGAAGCGACGCCGGAAATCCCGAGGATTCCCCGTCGAGCTGGCAACGCCGAGAGAGCTCCACCGCCCACGCTGTGTTTACAACTGCATCCTGTGGACCCTGCAGTCGCCCCCGGGGGAGGGGGGGTGCAGCCACGCAGGCAGGGCTCCCTGTCGTGCATTGGTGATCTTCACGAATTTTCACGGTTGCACGCGCCGCTGAAACCGCGCTGCGGATTCTTCGCGGTTCCGACTCGGAGTAAAGTAATTGCAGCTGGCGGCGCTTAATAAAACTGCAGGCGCCATTGACCCGGGTCGGGTGCGTTCGTAACTTGGAATTGCCAACTTTAAAAGAATAATTGAAGAGAAAGCAGAGGAGGAAGATATGAAGATGAGGAAGAAGAAGATGAAGGGAATGAAGAAAGAGAAGAGGGAGGAATAAGAAGATGTAGGGAATGAAGAAAGAGAAGAGGGAGGAAGAAGAAGGAGAAGGAGAAGAACAGTGAAAATGAGAGGGACAAGACTGCCGTGCTAAGGAAAAACGCCGTATAAACATTCGAGAATTGCCAAAGTTCTCTCGATAAAACACGTATTTTTCACAACATTCATTCAGATTTTTCCTTAAAATTTTCGGATGTTTTTCATGGAATTGCGTACAAAATTGTCTGAAAATTTTGGAAAATGATATTTGCAATTTCCGTAAAGTCGATTTTTATTGGAGGAAACTTGGCAATGTCTAAAGGCTCATACGGCGTTTTTCCTTAGCACGGCTCACGTAGAAAAAAACTTCATGCGTGTCTCTGAAGTTTCCGGGTCACTCATGCGAAAACTCGAATCGAAACCTGCTGTCGAAGTTGCAGACATCTGAAGTACTTCGGTATATACCGGAGTACTTCAGATGTCTGATCCGAACCCCTCGTTACACACCGAAGTACTTCAGATGTCTGACCCGAACTTCCGCAGCAAGATCTCAAGTTTTCGGATGCGTAATCTAAAAACTTCAGAGATCCATATCATCTCAACTTCAGGTCCCAGGCACGAAGTTTTTTTCTCCGTGAGAGAAAAGCCCTTAAGTGGAAGAAAGGAGAGGAGAGGGAAAGGGGTGGAGAAGAAGGGGCGGATCGCGCATCGAAAACCTTTAGGGGCAGCTGTCGAAGCTCTGATCAGACATCTGAAGTACTTCGGTGTTTCAATTGGTTTTTAAAAAGTTTCAATCGAGGCTTTGTAGTATTTCAGATGTGTGACTCGAATTTTGGCAACTGGACCTCAGGTTTTCGGATGCGCGATCCGAAAAGTTCAGAGATCCATATGGCCTGAACTTCGGGTCTCACTCACAAAGTTTTTTTCTCCGTGAGAACAATAAAAAGATGAGAACGAATAAGGAGAAGAAGAAATGCACGTTAGTGTTCCCGCTGTAAGTATATTTCGCATGCCAAGAATTTTCTGATGAACTTTAAGGTTTTTATGGTTATGGTGCTTTAGAGGAGATTATAACGCAGCAGGGTAGAATGGGCCGCAAGGTGAAACCTCTTTAGAGCATTGAGAAAACCGGTGGATTATGGTGACAAAGATCAATTGTCAGTTTTCGGTGCTGAGTACTCTCTGAAAGTACTCTCAAAAACAGTGAATCCAAATTTCAAGCCTTGACTTGCACTTAGGCCTGTCCCCGAACCGATCGATCGATCGATCGATTATTTCGATGATCGTTCGAAGACCTGTTTCGATCGAAACTGCTCGATCGAACTGCTCGATCGAAATGTTCGATCGAAATNTTGTCAGTTTTCGGTGCTGAGTACTCTCTGAAAGTACTCTCAAAAACATTGAATCCAAATTTCAAGCCTTGACTTGCACTATTAATATCAAAGATTTTATCACAGCGTGAGCTTATGAAAAACGCCTTGTTTACGATTTTTGGACTCGCACCAATATTTCAACGTAGAGGAATCAAGTTAGGTTGGAAAAGGCAGGATACTTTAGTGTCCGCCTTGCCGGACTGGGCGAGAGTGGTAACACTATCGCGCGCAACTATTTGAACTTCCAAGCCGCACCTATTGCTATCACTGTTATTGAAGGCGAAGTCCGTTTCCAACATTCTTAATTTTTTATCCTCGAACCTGCTACCAAAGGGCCAATTCTTCAAATTTGTATTGCGCCAAATAATTTCAGAAATAATCCTTTTAAGCTGTAGTTTAGCCAGCTTACTTTTCTCCTCCTTCCCCTCCTCAAGGAACATTTTGTTCTGCTGCATGCATCATAATCTTCTTCAGGAATTGGACTATGGAGGAAAGATTTCCAGCTTAAAATCATGCATAATGTAACATTTTGTGATTTTCAGCGGATCAAATTCTAAACTATCAAGAGACAAAACAGGTTCCCGATCTACCGATCTCGTTCATGCATTGGAAATCGAGACAATATTTCACGGTTGCTCACTATCCGGAATCACCCAACGCATTACTTCGCAGCTTTGACTCGAGGTGAAATTGCAGCTGCGGTGGCGCTTAATAACACTGCAAGCGCCGCTGAATTCTGTCGAGTGGGTTGGTCATCTATTACGAAGGGGAAAAAAGTCAAAAATGAAAGATAGCATGTATACGCCGAGGGCCAGTTCCGCACGCCATGCCGTATTTCTCAATGAATTCTCGTCGGAATTTGCACTGCATTGCGATGATTCTTTGCTATCCACGCTCTTTAGCGGCTGAAATTGTACAGCTATAAATTTTAAAAGGCAAAGTAAGTTATAGTGGCGTATTTTGTAACGGATTCTTGACTGAAATTTCAGCGAATCGGAAATTATTTGGTTTGAAATCAAGTGTCGCCTCGACGGTGAAACTCCCTATATTATAACACGTATTTCGGTTTGCGACGTTGCAGACTTCCTGTCATACTTTATTGTTTAAATGGACGTGTTTCTGTCAAACGGAACTATGTGCATTGAGCAATGAGCCCTGAGACCCATAAAAATATACGCATAACAGGGTTCACGCTATAATGCACATAGTTCCGTTTGGCAGACTTACGTCCAAATGGAAAACTACCCATCGTAAAAATTGGCGATAAAAGCTGCGTTTCAAAATACCATAGGAATTCTTATAGCCGGCTAAAGAAGGCTACAGAAAATCAAATAGCTGGCTGTAGAATGCGGAGAAAATCATACGGCCGGGCTATACGAATAAGCGATAAAAAATTATGCAGCCGGGCTATAGTTCCTATAGCCGGGCTTTACACTTTATCGCCTGGATGTTGCTTTTTCGCAATCGATTATAAAGGCCATAAGAAATTGTGTATAAATTCGTAAGCTTTGGAAATCATTAAGTTTGATACGGAACCACCTTAATATTTACAAAACACACGTTACATTTTCCTTTAATACATATTTTTTTTTAATCAATTAAAACGAGAATAATCCATACAGGATGTGCAAACATTTCAAAATCATGAGTTGATATAACGCTGACTCCGCGAGATTAAATATTAGAGCCTAACACAAAGCGGAGCGGCGACGCACTGGCTGCCCGCCTGCCGCACCGCAGCGTGCCACGGCGCTTGAAGCAACTATTTCACACCAGAGGTATTGCACAGTATCATACGAAATTGAAGGCGCTCTAATATATTATTAATGGCAGGCATCCATCATAAGTGTGGAGCTTTCCTCGCAAAATAAATCAAGATACTACTGCCCAAAAAGAGAGCAGTGGTCCAAAAACTCACTAAGTCCTAGCATCCGTAATTTGTTACGTTTAGCATACATTTTATCGCCTGTCTGTGAGTTGCTTAATCGCCATCGGCTATAAATGGCTATAAGAAATTGTGTAGCCGGCAATAGAAGCTATTGGAAATCTTAAAGGGGGCCGTAGGTCTATGGTATTTTGGAACACAGATTCTACTGCCAATTTTTACCAGGGACTTGATTTCAATTCTTGAGGACTTGCAAGATTTTCCTTCTCTGCGCGAAGAAAACTCATTGAAAAATATAGAAGATGATACTGATTTCTTCTCCTTCAAAAATATGGAATGGAGGTGGGAATTTGTCAATACCACGAACGAGATACGCGGTCTGGTAGTTTCACCGTCGCTATGACGCCGATGCCGTGCAAAGAAGTAAAGACGAAAAATGTCATTAAATTTAACTTTTGGAAACGAGTTCTAAGTAGCAATTTTACAAAATTGCAAAGATATCAGCCTATATTCAATTAAACTATTTATACTCTAATGTAGCTATAATTTGGTCTTTCTTAATTTTAAGACGCAACAGAGATTCCAATCTCCGTGTCAGAGCGAGTTTTGTTCGTCAATTTTAACAGATTTTAGCTTTTGGTTAATGCAACTATTCGTGCTCCAGTGTAGCTAAACTTGTATCACCGTCAATTTTAGGCGCAATGGAGAATTTCATTCTTGTACTGTTGCAGGATATTTTAATAGCAATTTTGTCAAATCGCTGACATTTCAGCTTGAAGTTGACGCATTTGATTGTGCCTCCAGTGTAGCAGCGCGCATCAATTTTAACTTTTAAGACGCAAATTACGTCTGCATTGTCGTATATTTTTAAACCAGATACTATTGGTAATATAACAAAATGACAGTAATTGGCTTAGAATAAGCGCATTTGCTCGTACTTTAATGTATTTTGAACTGTAGAAAAATCCGTTACAAGTGTAAATCCCCAGAAATTAAATGATAGATAGTATCTAGTTTAAAATATTATTGACATTAAATTCGTTAACTTGAAAGTCATTCCAGTTTTGTTTATGGATGCGCCATTTCATCTTCTTTGAGGGTGTTCGCATTCATGAACCTAATCATGAGATACAGTAAACAAAATCAAAATAAGAAATCAATTAAGATTTAAATGTAAAATTTCTACCGAAAATCCATTGACTCCTCAATATTCCTTGAGATATGTCTAAAAATCTATCGGGCCGATCTCCACGCTATTGCGCCATTCAACGAGTTGTGATCTCTGGTAAGTCCGCTGTCTCAATTCTTAAATCATGATCACGGTCTAGTAAATTTTGACTACAATTTTAATCGACTGCACAATAAATTCAAACCCGAAATTCCTTTACGAAACTATAAGTTTGAAGAGATAGAAAAAAACTCATAATTTGTAAAAATAATTTATCATATTTATCACCCAAAAACTTAGAACATAAGCCAGAAAATCATTCCGAAAAAGCGAGAGTCGAAACTCTACAGCGTTCCGAGAAACAGAGGAAATTATAATTAGTAAACAAGCTCATTTCTCACGAACACAGATCGGTACAAAATATCCGGCCGCCGACGATGTTTTTCGCGAGACGAGCCATCTGTTGATCGTGTAACACATCGATACATCGGCGGTATGATATATCTATTGATCTGTCATTTAAACTTGTAGAAAAGGATCGATAAACTGAGTGTAAGCAGCAAACAACTTAATAATCGATTCTTTATCATTGCTTCAAGTGGGGAAATATCGATAATCGATCACCACGCCTCCTCGCTGTTTTCAACATGGTCCACGCCCCGATTTTTTCATTTGCGCGTGATTATGCTAAAAAGAACTATGTCGCACCCAAGCCCCATGTACATATTCCCTTTTAGCATAAATGTGTCCATTTAAAAGTAATCATTCTAAAAGGAACCACGTACAAAAGAATTCAAGAAAAAGGAACTAAGAAAGCACGGAGATTCTATGCACGTAGTTCGTTTTAAATTAATTCATTTTCACATTGTCCCTTTTGCCATAATTCATAATTTTCCAAACGAAAGAACGTAACTGCATTTCCACGTCGCAAAATTTCCGCTCGCGAATCGCATTTTACGTAGGGAAGTTTTTGGAATTTCTAACCGAAAAATTTACTGATTTTCCATTCGATCACATCTTGAAATTGGCAAATTTTGAACGGTGATCGCACGGTCTCATTCTCGTGAAGATGATTTTTTGTTTGAGTCAATTTAGCAAGCTGGGAATGGAGTTAAGTCCCTTCGTCTGGTCAGCGATGAGATACGTCCATTCTCAACCCCGCGTTCGCCCCCCCCCCACTCCGAAGGGGCGCTAATATGTTTTGCTGGGCGGGAACGAGAGATGTAGGTCACGCGAGCCGTAGTGACATCTTTGCAAATGAGCCATCAATAATTTTGAGCCGCATCCAACCCGTGACATTGAAACTGACGGAAACTCTCCGATGTTGCCGTGGTTTTACTACATCTCTGCGTTTTTCGACATTCGTGGGTTTAATGGCTTCGACCATAGAATCAATCTCATGCGAGAGCAGCAGCAGCGATTTGTTGCAATTCGATCGGGAGATTCTTGCAATAGGTCAGTTACGCTGGTCGCAGGATCGAACTTAACAGAATTGTAGTTACCATGTTAACAGGGCCGGACCTAAAAGTAGCGCATGAGGTTCGACTATACCAAAAGCTATCACAATTAAGGTGCTTGAGGTCCACTTGAGGTGCGCCTTCAATTTAGCCGAATAGGCAACAAACGTTCCGGGGAGCGCGAATAGTCACCTATCTATATCCAAAAAATATACATGATCTTGATCCATGCATGAGCTTTGATTGAACCGATGAACGACCATCTTGACCGATTGATAGGTATCCTCCATCTACAGTTCCCCTTCAATTTAGCTCCATAGGCACCATGCTCACCGGGTACGCGAATAGTTATCTATCCAAAAAACAATCATTATCTTGATACATGAGCTTTGATTGAATCGATAAACGACTTTGTTGGCCTATTGGTAAATATCGTTTTTGGTGTCGAGCTTTGCTTACCGCAAAAAACTTTAAAAATTGTAAATTAGTAGTGGTGTTATTACAAAAATTTATTCATCATGCTTTCAAAAGCGAACATATTTGTTGCGCTCGAAATCTGAATCTTACGGCACGATTTGGTGGCATCGCGTTTTACTTCAAATTTCCGCAAACTATTTAGCAACATTTGTCCCAAAATTCCCCATTTTACCCCAGCGGTCAGCGCGTTCACTCACACTCTATTTCAAGTTGATGTATCATTAGTTATTTTCGGAAACAATATGACCCATTCCAGTGGAGATTGAAGTATTACACCCGCAAAAAAAGTTAATATGGACCCCGGGTAATGAGAGGTCTAGTGATAATTACGGATTTTTATCTTAAAGCAGATGAATCAACAGCTAATGCAACTGATTCGTCTGATGAATAAATTCATGATTCAAATTTTAGGAAATTTATTAGCAGGAATTACCTACAATCATGGCAGAAAGATTGGATCAAGACTAACTTTTGAAACTTTAGTTTCAACCGTTGCATGATTTGAAAAGATCTATATTTTTCTGAGTAAACAAAGAATGTACAAAATATTGCCTACATTTATCGCACAATTGGTTTCTTCAACATCCGACCTCAGAATTATAGCAACCTTTTCACTCAAAGAATTTTGCGATTTATTTGTTGTTTAAAAACACCCATTACTTGATATTTAAAAAAATGGAATCATAATCAAATACCGCGATACATTTTTTTGTAAAATAATTATCGCCAAGGGGCGAAGAAGAGAAAGGGGAATGTAATATACCTCAATAGAAACGCTTAATTCTCGAGAAGTCAGTCGCCGACACCTCTTTCCCGAAAAATCGGCTGAATTTGACAAAAATAATGATTTCAATTTCCCAAATTATTTTCGAAGTGGTATAATTATTCAATAGTAATCATCGCGTGTCTGATTGGCTTGAAAAGCAAGCGCCGGGAATATCAGGTGGTCACTCACTTTTGCTACTCAATGCGGACTCTTATTTTATCTTTGGGTGTAAATAAGAAATTCTAATTTTGAACTAACCACCAGAGTACCTGTATAGCGAGAGTATGGACAGATGTGAAACTCCGAAAATCCATCAGGCCTTCACCGATGCTTCTGCGAATAAATTTAGGGCCCAGAAATGCAGCCAACCTATGAATTTCAATTATCCAGAACGATTTACTAAAACTATTGTTACGAACCGTCGTTTGTAAAGCACGTATTTGGATCAGTTTTTGCATAAATTTACTCATTTTTGCGGAAGAACGCTCATTTCTAAACATTCTTGGCCACCTTGGTTACAATTGGAATTTGCAAACTCTGCAGATTGACAGTGAAATTTTGTGTGGTAGAAGTTGGTTAGAGGGATGGCTGCACTTTTGGGCCCTAAAGACCTCCAAGAAGCGATCTGTCCATACTCTCGCTATACAGGTACTCTACTAACCACAAAAGATCGATGAGATTTTCCAATTATTTGAGGCAAAAATGAGCTTGTGGCTCACGCATCGAAATTACTCGTAGTTCTTGCGGGCTTTTTTCCTCATGCCTTGACGCACACGATTACGCGGCTATACAAAAATAAAATCATCCGCGCACCTTGGTTTTGGCAGGTCCGTATCTTTTACGATCGGGAGGCTCGGCGCACGGTGGATCGAGTCAATTAGAGAGGTCGGACATGAAATTTTAAACTAAAACTGCACATTTTTATATTTATTTCGTCAGATTTTATATTTCAAGGGATGTCTCTAGCAGAAAAATTTACGAGAGAACCGATGGAGCTACTTTCAGAACCTCAAAACTTTATATAAACGGAGTTATAAGCGCTTAAAGTTTCCAAATTTTGTCCGACTTCTCCTATTGACTCGATCCACTGTGCGGCGACAAGGGGATGACGTCAGGCGTCGTGACCCCAAGTTGCCGCGAATTTTCGAACTACATCCGGAAAGGCCAAAAATACCGTCGGATATTTTTGATAAGCTGACAATGCCCCGTCTATCTCCTGTTAATTTTACGACCATAAAACCTAACAGCGCTGGTTTTAATCGTTCGCCCGCGCTTGAAATATTCGGTCGGCGAATAATTACGCAAAGATGTGCCAAAATATTCGACGGTGAAACTACGAAACCACGTATCTCGTTTGCGGTGTTTAAAAATCTACGCTCACATTTTATTTTTTCGAAGTAGACCAAACCAATATCATTCCTTGAAAATTTCACGGAATTTTCTCCGCACAAAGAGGAAAAATCACAGAGATTTTCAAGACTGGATGTTAAGTAGTTTTTCATTTAAAAAATAAAGTATGACAGGAAGTCTGCGACGTCGCAAACCGAGATACGTGGTTTGGTAGTTTCACCGTCGTATTGCCGCCCAACCGTGATTGACTCAACGCAAAGTGGATCGAGTCAATAGGAGAGATCGGACAAAATTTGGAAACTTTAAAAGCTTATAACTCCGTGTCTACAAAAGTTTAAGGTTCTGACAGTGGTTCCATTGGTTTCCTCGTGAAATTCTCCTCTTAAAATACCCCTTGAAAGTTAAAATGTGACGAAAGAAACATCAAAATTTGCGCTTTCAGTCAGAAATGTTTTGTCCGACCTGTTTGATTGACTCGATCCACTGTGCGGCGTTGCAAGTTTGACGGAGGCCCCGCTTTTTTTCCTTTTAAAGAGCCTCCGAAAATTTCGCCCCTTTTTCGATATTCGATTCGACCATCGAACCAAGGTTTAAGTGGAAGCTTATAATGACAGAAAACTCAGGAAAAAATTTCAAGATGAGTATTGGAACTGTCTTCGAGTTACGGAGGGGCAAAGGGGTCAAACTCTGGACTTATTTTTCGCCATTTTCTTGTTGAATTGATGTGTCTACGGGGTTGTTATCGTTGTTTACACATGTTATTCACACCGGTTCCTACGTATTTTTACACACAAAATCGATTTTAAATGTTGACGAGTCGATATATCGATCGGTTATATCGATTTTTTAAGATTCTTTACGGAAAATCGACGATTTTTGAGATTGAAATTGTTATTTGTTTATGACAGGTAGGCGACAATTTAGTGTATGTTCTGCATTAATACATGACTTACGTAAAAACATTTTCTTGAAGTTGAAAGACTTAGCGCAGAAATGCACAACTTTCCAACCACGCGTGTCAATGAGCGTGATTCCCACGATTTGTGATGGCGGTAAAGGGGAGGAGAGATTATGTCATATTTTTTTTATAAGTTTGCTCACGACGTTTAAGGATGAAAATGTAAAATAACTTTGAAGGATGAGGTTTTTTTTTTTTTTGTTCATTTGGTCCAAAGGAAAAAAATATAAATTGAGATTTTTGGTAAAAATTGGGGAGGGCCAATTCCACGAGGGAAGATTCACTAAAACTCTCTAAACATCTTTGGTGCAATAGGACTTAATTATCTTTCAAGAAAATCTCACCTCGTCATATCTGAACCGGATAAACCGTTTGATTTCCCTCAGCTAAAGTCTCTTGGATTTTTCCTGTGTACGATAACTTCGCGACGGCAAAGGGCGGGCGTGCAGCGTTGCTTTGAGTTACTATTTCGCCACGAAGGTGTTGCACAGTATCATACGAGATTGAAGGCACCCCATCATGCTCGATGGCATCTTTCAAAAGCACGCTGTCCCCTCGAAAATAAAGCGAGTGATGACGACAAAAAGCGGTAGTCGAAAAACTTACCAAGTCCTGCCGTCCATATTCAGTGACGTTCAGCATGATTTTTGAATTTCATTAGAGGAAAAAGTGACTTGAATCAAGCAAAAATATGCTCAATTTTACCGTCGAGAAGATTTTCTTATGAATCAATAACAAAAATAATGCTTGTACATAGAAGAAAAGATGCTTCTATGACAAGAAAAGTCACTTACATCGAGTAGAAAGCCGCTTTCCTTCAGCAATTTTATTCTTGATTCAAAATAAAATCTCCTTGACGGTAATGTCGGAATGTTTTTTCCCGAGTCAAAAACACTCTCAAGTCACTTGTTTCTCTAATGAAATTCAAAAATTACGCTAAACGTTATTAAATACAGATGCTAGGACTTGGTGAGTTTTCCTGGAGTACCGCTCTCTTTTTGCTTGATCTTGATTTATTTTGCGAGGAAAGCTCGTACCCTTAAAGTATGCCCGTTGACTTGAAAAAAACTAAGGAAGGAACGCAATCATCAAACTTAAAAAAAAACGTTGTTCACATAATATAATAACAGTTGGAAGGGTTAAAATAATAGGGGCTTAAATGCATTGCAAAGTTGCAGAGTTTCGCCTGACAATTAATTTTTCTGATCAATAAAAAGTGAGTGTTTTATCTTGAAACTTTCAAGAAATTTTCATCTATTCCCGAAAAAAAATTTCAAGAGATTTTTAAAAAATTTGCAACTGTCTTTCAGTAACTGAATGGTTTGACGAGAGAAACCCGGCAATGTTGCAGTGCAGTTACACGGAAAAAAAATTGCTGATTCAACAATTCAATTGCTAAATACAGTGAGTGCAATGTTTCAACGCAGATTTTACAACAAAAAAATGTTACTTTAACCACATTGTAAACTAATTTAACCGCGTGGGTGGTTAAAGTAGCATTTTTTTGTTGCAAAATCTGCGTTGAAACATTGCACTCACTGTTTTTAGCAATTGAATTGTTGAATCAGCAATTTTTTTTTTCCGTGTAGGTTCTTCTAGTCCTGGCTTTTTCAGTTTTAAAAGTTGAAAAACAGCAGAGGAGAGCTGACGGTAAGTCCTAGAATTGGACGCATTTCTGTCAAACGGAACTATGTGCATTATGACGTGAGCCCTGTTATGCATAAATTCCTATGGGTCTCAGGGTTCTTGTCTTAATGCTCATAGTTCCGTTTGATAGAAATACTTCCAATTGAGATACAAGCCACAGGAGGCAACTACATCTTAATTCTCCGAGGATATAGCTCAATAATCATTTTTTCTCCGCACATCCCGCGAGACACATTTTTTCCCGCGACTGGCGTATGAAATTGCATTCTTTTCTGAAATATTTGAAGATAACTCTTTGCATGTCCTAGGAAAATTGCAGTGGAAATCCCCCACAAAAAAACCCGATGATTATTCAGTAAGAAACTGATCGTTCTTCGTATGATAATTAAGCCACGCTTGCGAACACAAGTAACCACATAATAAAAACCGTCTCCAATCTATCAACTCATCGTGCAATTTAAAACATAAAAATACAGCGTCCCAAAATAGTTGCACATCAGAGAGTCAACGTGTTATTTGTAAGATTATATGTACATATGTGTACAATTATATGTAGAAATGGGTATGGCATAATGCTGCAATAACGTCTGATTTGGGCCTCTCAAGCATGCAAGCGACTCTTCACCGTTCAGGCGCTGTTGCTGCAATTATTCGCACTCCCGTGTATTCCTCGGTTGCATACTTTTGGTATTGAAGGCTTTTTGAGATCTTAATCAAACTGGGTAATTGCTTGGCACCGATAATGAGTAAACATAGCTAGTCTCAATTAGAAATCCGCCCACGTTACTCTAGATGTTATTTATTTAGTCAATGGACGTCATTGAGGAATTCGTTCAATAAATTAATTATTCGTGAGAAGATATTATAATTAAAACTATGAATAATATCAAAAGTCATTGCACAGATTGAATCCGAAATCCTTGATATCTGAAAAATTATTCTTTTGAAGACATGGACAGGCAGACAGGCATAATCTTAACACTTTCACTGACAGATTAAAATATTTGAGTGTTTGTGCTGTTTCAGCTTACCAAGGAAACGTCTGCAGATCAAGTTTTCATTGAGGGATCATCTAGCGTTGCCATCGCATGGGGATTTCATTATTACTTAAAACATTTTTGCGACAGCCATATATCTTGGGATTATGATGAAATCAATCTTCCTCAACCTTTACCTGACGTCAACATTACCGAGAATGCCAATGACATGTACATAATATTTGACAATTTTCAAATATTTTAGAGTTTTTTCGAAAGGCTGTGCCTCGGATCAGGTCTCAAGGAATCCTAAACATTTGAATATTTGAGGCGAGATATTTGAAGAAAAAGATTCTTTGAGACCTTAAAGCTGATCGAGATGATTTTAATGATTTTTTTTTACTTTTCTGTAAAATTTGTCTCCAATGTCATAGATCAAGAAAGACATACCTACTTTAGTCTAGTGTTTTGGGTACTTGGAGACGGAGAGTCAAGAGGAGGAAAAAACGCAGAGCATTAATTGAGGGGCTTGGAGGACAAGGCGCATGACTGCAGTTTTTGAAAAAATTGAGATATTCATAAACTCAACTAAAACTAGTTTAAGAGTACAGTCTGTGAAAAATTCACAAGTAAGATCCAACTTTTAAGCATCAAAAAGTGAGTTTAAAGGAGGGGTTGCGATTTGGGCCGAAATCGGCCCCTCCGCGGAATTGGATAATTTTTGGATATTTGGCAGTTGACGGTGCATATATGATGGAAATAATCGACTTTAGCCGATACTCACGTTTTTTGGCTGCAAAACAGGGGCCTAAACATGGCTCCGTGGCCGAAAATAGCTAAAATTTCGCGTTTTTCGCGGTTCTACTCAGATTTCAACCTGGGCCCAAAGGCGGCAGTTAATGAGCTTCGAATATGGTGTCTGGGACACCTAGACACGTATCATACTTGAATATGATCAACCGTCGCCTTTGGGCCCAACCTCAAAATCGAACTTTTCCAACTTTTTACCACGAAATAGCTGAAAATCCATGTTTTCCGCGGTTCTACCTCAGATTTCGACCTGGGCCCAAAGGCGACGGGTGATGAGCTTCAAATATGGTGTCTAGGACACGTAGATACGTATCATACTTGAATATGATCAACCGTCGCCTTTGGGCCCAACCTCAAAATCGAACTTTTCCAACTCTTTACCCCGAAATAGCTGAAAATCCATGTTTTCCGCGGTTCTACCTCAGATTTCGACCTGGGCCCAAAGGCGACGGGTGATGAGCTTCGAATATGGTGCCTGGGACACCTAGACACGTAACATACTAGGACATGATCAACCGTCGCCTTTGGGCCCAACCTCAAAATCGAACTTTTCCAACTTTTTAGTCCGAAATAGTTGAAAAGTACTGTTTGTGCAACGTTCTATTCAAGTTCTGGACTGAACCCAGAACTTGCCTTCGAATACAGAGAATGGATTCATATCCTCCTGCTATATTGTCTGTTACAAGTCACTTGAATGACTGCGAAAACTGAGTTTTTACAATTTCACGTATAGGTTAATTTGTCAGCTCCAGATTCCTGAATCTCTTGCTTGAGCTCTCCAGTGCTTGGTAATGTTACCTTTATGAAAAGCTCACTGTAATTAAACAGCATACAGGTTTGTTTTTGATGACTATCTCAGGTGAGAGATACTGATTATTGGAACTTCACGGTTAGGTTATCACGCGGTAGAACCGCGGATTACATGGATTTTCAGCTATTTCGGGGTAAAAAGTTGGAAAAGTTCGATTTTGAGGTTGGGCCCAAAGGCGACGGTTGATCATATTCAAGTATGTTACGTATCTACGTGTCCCAGACACCATATTCGAAGCTCATCACCCGTCGCCTTTGGGCCCAGGTCGAAATCTGAGGTAGAACCGCAAAAAACGCGAAATTTCAGCTATTTTCGGCCTCGGAGCCATGTTTAGGCCCCTGTTTTGCAGCCAAAAAACGTGAGTATCGGCGAAACTCGATTATTTCCATCATATATGCACCGTCAAATGCCAAATATCCAAAAATTATCCAATTCCCCGGAGGGGCCGATTTCGGCCCAAATCGCAACCCCTCCTTTCCTTTCTGCCATAAGGCTCCATGGAATTATGAAACTTTAAACACGTATTTCTTGAAATAGCAAAGACTGCACTTTTGCACCTTATCCAGGGTTGCCACCGAATCTAGAAAACGAAATTCTCTGCTTGTTTTCCCTGACTTTTGGTGAAACTCCCTGAAAACTGAAGATATGCCAATAATGGTTAAAAAGACGTAAGTCGAAATAGTTTCCATGCAAAATTTGTTGTTCGAAATGCCAAACGCATTCTAGAAAGGAAATAAAGGTGACTTTAGCAATTTTTTCCTGACGTTTTCAGGTTTTCCTTGACATTTCCCGGTTTCCAGGTTTTCCCTGACAATTCCCGGTTTCCAGGTTTTCCCTGACATTTCCCGGTTTTCCCTGACTGTGGCAGTCCCACTTGTTCTCCAAGCCCCTCAGTCGTTGTGAGGACATTTGCACTGCAAATTTTATAAACTTCCGATTGTTTTTTAAAGGAAGAAACATAAATTGAATATTTTAAAGGAGCTTTCAATTATACAGTGTCCTTTTTTACTCAGCTGGCGATATTACCAAAACGTCTGCACCTGGAGTTACAGTTATGTTTGGTGGGACTGGGGCCGGTGGGAGCGAGAGATCGACTGGATGGCACTCAACGGGATTAACATGGCATTGGCATTTAATGGTCAAGAGGCCGTGTGGAACAGAGTCTACAAGAAATTCAATTTGAAAGAAGCGGATATTGATAAACACTTCACTGGCCCTGCATTTTTGGCTTGGTACTTTTTTCATTCACGTTATATAAAATAATGTTGTTAAGCTGCATTTTTTTTTAGTACTTGGCACTTTCTATAGGTTTGTAGAGAACTCGCACTCTTGGTGAAAATTTAAAAAAGTTTGAATACTCANGGTATAAATACGAGCTCTGTAACTGCATTTCTCCGAAATTTATGGATGTTTGAAGGTTACGACTTTGAAAAATGGCAACGCTGTTTCCCTGGGGTTCCTGCAAAAACGGAGCTAGGGATGAGCCTCTCTCAACTAGTACTATCAGCCCACAAAGTTTCGTACATTCCGGGCTGGGTACATTTTTCGCCTATATGAATAACCCTCTTTAAAAAAGTTTGAATACTCAGAAGGATGATACTTCTAGACGGGATTGGTTCAGGAATGATTGAGTGCTTCCGATCACGGAAGTTGAAATCGATGGTCTATTTGACATCAATGTTTCTTTTCGTGGCCGTTTTGGAGAGAAACCTCGCATTCGATGCAGCTATCGATTTCTGTGTCGAATGCAAGTTTCTTTCCAAAACAGATCGAGCTATAAATTCTCTGAATTTTGCCACATTCATGGTTTCGAATCCGGCCTAAAACACCCCTCGCATAAAATCTCCGGAGATCTTTTAATTTAAGTTTAAGCAACTAAGACTTGAAATATTGAGCATTTTTTTTAAAACTTCTACTTTTGTTGTACAATTTATGTAATTTATGAAATGTTTTCCTGCTTAAATTTTTAGATTATTCCCTGGTTCAACATTTGCCGAACTTCCGAAATGGAATAATTTTGCTGATGACTATTGCTGGTGCGTATTTATTTTTGGTAAACTTAAGCTTGATTACATCTAGTGCTACTGCGCCGTTATAAATCATCCTAATCTAAAATATGTGAAAATAATTGAAAAAAGAAAAAAAATATACGTTGGAGTTACAGTGATGCTAACTAATACTTTCAGTTACGATTGTAATGTAGGAACAGTTTTAAAGGTAAGTTTTCATTTTCAAAACATTGTATAGTTTTTCTTTGAAACGGTGGTATGCTTTTTAAGAAGGTTATAGGAAATGCCAGTTACGGACAAATAGCGCTCTTCTTCTCTGTGATCGGCCTAAACGCAGCTCTACTGTGGCCTCTTTGCCTGGCGCTTTACTTCACTGGCGTCGAAGTAATCCACTGGGATCAAATACCGTGGCCTGCGTTACTTTCCGCAAGCATACTATCTCTTGGTGAGTGCACGAGAATATATTTGTAGAAATAACTTCTGAAGTTTCACTTTTGAAAAATCTAAAGCAAACAAAGCCATTCCAAATAAATTTACGCACTCTTAATGTGACAGAGGAACATCTGGACCGCGTTAAACAGAAAGGAACCAAGCTACATCAGCTATTGCCAAATTTAATTGGGCAATTTAATTTTTTACATGAAAACGGTTGTGTGGATTTTCGAGCAAATTTCAGTGAAAATTCTCCGTGGTGCGAAGCAAATTCCTTAAAATTTTCAAAGAAATCCGAACAACCGTTCTCTCGTAAAAAATCTAATTGCCCAGTTAAACTTGGCAATCGCTGATGTGGCTTATCTGTCTTCAGTCCAGCGTTGGAGGTAAAAATACAATTATAAAAGATTACGACTCTTTTGTCGCATTCAAAATGTGCGTAAAGTCATTATTTTGACGTGTGCTCTACCACGGTTATGTAGTCTCACAAAAGTGAGCCTTCACTGTACTTTACTTTGAGGCATTGTTCCATCCATTTGATTTAGATGATTGAGTTAGTTAGGTATAACTAACATAAGCTCTGAATTAAAATGAATGCACTCACAAGATGACAAGTTTGACAAATGCTTAGATTGATAACAAATATGAGTGTAGCTACCGACAGAGGGGAGGAGTGGATGGAAAGGGACTATGTATTTTTTACTGAAGTCATG